GCTGTAGTCTCTCTTCTTGTTTATTTTCTTTCTCCTCTAACAACTGCTGTAATTTCTCTTCTTGTTTATTTTCTTTTTCTTCCAACATCTGCTGTAATCTCGCTTGTTTATTTTGCTGTTCGAGCTGCCATTGTTGTAGGTTTTCTTGCCACTGCTGTAATCTTTCTTCTTGTTTCTTTTCTTTTTCGTCCAACAACTGCTGTAATCTCTCTTGTTTATTTTGTTGTTCGAGCTGCCACTGTTGCAGGTTTTCTTGTAACTGCTGTTGTCTCTCTTCTTGTTTCTTTTCTTTTTCTTCCAACAACTGCTGTAATCTCTCTTCTTGTTTAATTTCTCGGTGTTCTTGTTTCTTTTCTTGTTTAATTTCTCGTTCTTCTTGTTTCTTTTCTTTTTCCTCTAACAACTGTTGTAATTTCTCTTCTTGTTTATTTTGTTGTTCGAGCTGCCTTTGTTGCAGGTTTTCTTGCAACTGTTGTTGTCTCTCGTCTTGTTTCTTTTGCTGTTCTTGTATTGCTGCTATTAAATCTGCTAGGCTGTAGTTTGATTTGCTGCTTCTCGTTTCCATTTTCTTTTTATCCCACTTCTGACACCACTTTGTTACGTCTACGTTTGTTAATTAACTTTCCGTAACTTCGTTCCGACGAAACTTTAGCGACACAAGTCCTTACTTAATAAAACTGGTTTATTCTTTCCGAATAAAACTTTACGATACACTTATTTTCAATATTCGCGCTAAAACAAACACTATAACGAACGAACGTTAACTTCAACAATACCCTGTGACTGCAGTTCAATTACTCACTATCTACACATACATTACATTATTGCGTCACGTTGTCACCCTCTTATATATATACTAGACTACCCTATCCAGTAAATACTAGAGCATTCGCCAAAGTACAGGATAGTTCTAGAAAGTAGAGGGCGTGAGAATCACATGATCTCGATGACGCAACACTATATTGCAAATTTCGCGCTGGCTATTGTACGAGGACCACAACATCTTTGTAGTTTGTTTTTTCAAGCAAAGCCACATTGAATTATCTGCTGTGTCCACCGTGTGGAATCGAACCACAGATTTTGGTGTTGTAGATCCGTAAACTTACTGCTGTCCAGTCGGCGGACAAAAACATCTATTGTACCAAGCTTCTGTGGGATACAAAAAATTTAACTTTTCATGTAACAATACATGTCAAATGGTCATATTTTCTGTGAGATAAGAGGTGAAATTTTGCTCTTCTGCAATCGTAGTTGAAGGCAGCTTTTTTCCCAGTTCAGACTCCAATTAGAATGGTATCTTGTTTCTAGTTCCTCGCTAATGAAGGTCTCGTGTTCTTGATGTTTCTTATGAATCATACTCTGCATGGCAGATGCGGTCACTGTCTCTGGAAAATTGCCGTTCTTGCTCAGTTTTGGCTTGACGATGAGCAGCTTGTTATTTTCGTTGGCTGTCAAGGCGTGTTTCCCTTTCTTGTAGAGTCTCACTCTGTCGCTTTTGTTGCAAATGTTTTGCTGCTTGTGATTGGCAATCAGAATTTTTTTTTCGACATTTTACTCTGAGATACATAATCAGCATCAGAAATGTCTATCATACCAAACTCTCCTCTCTCCTCCCAGAATAAAATGAATAAAAACAACATATCTTTGCAGAATTTCGCGGGTTAAACTTGTCTGCTCTATAAAAAAATTAGTCTTGTTTGTCAATAGATATGACAGCATTTGATGGATATTTATTTTGACACCACAACTGTCCCACACCTCTCTATAAAATAAACATAAGTTTCTCCAACGTCATTTTCACTTAAATCATATCAAAAATCAGTCCACCTGCTGTCGAAAATATTACATTACAAAGTTTTAATTAACACTAAAAATGTGACATCACAGACATCAAACCTGAGTATGCTGATTCCACATATTTATAGGCCTACTATTATAGGGGGCTGATACAAACTTAGTTTTATATATTACATTATACAGTGGAACAACAGCAGAAATAGGCCTATATATGCACCACTACAGTGGTGGCAAAAATATTGTAGAGGTTACAATCACACTGTATAACCATGTCAATTGACTTTGATAAATGGATAGAGAGAGGTGAGCAACTTGGGCTCAAAGTTGGTGACCTACAAGAGTATGTTAAACAACAACATGACCTAGAGAGAGAAGAGCATCAACAAAGGAAAGAAGAATAGAGAAAGAAAGAGAAAGACTGGAAGAAGAACGTGAGCATGAAATACAAGCCCAAAAAGAAGAGAAAGAAGAAAAGGAAACACTGGAAATGGAGAGAGAGAGAGAGAAAATAAGGGCACAAACTAAGAAAGAAGGAAAGGAGAGAGAGAAGAAAAACTGGAAATAGAGAGAATAAGAGCACAAATTGAGATAGCCTAGGTGACCCAACAAAAATAAAAAGGACCCAAGAATAATAATGTGGTCAGGGCCAGTCGAAGCCTAAGCTGCCTAAATTTGATGATCAGAAAGACAACATGGATGCTTTCTTGTAGAAATATGAAAGATCTATCCAAATTCAGAACTGAGACAAAAGCAGTCTGTCTCAATCCCCTTCTCACAGGAAAATGGCCTATAAATGTATGTGGGCATGACACCAGAAGATGCCATGGACTATGACAAGTTAAAAGTAGCCTTGCTGAAATACTTTGAATTTACCGAGGAAGGTTTTCGTCTGAAGTTTAGCGAATTCAAACCTGACACCAAAGAAACTGTATTTCAGTTTGTGGCATGCCTATGGTGATACTTCACAAGGTAGACTGACATGGCCAAGTGTGAAGATAGTTTTGAAGGACTGGCAGATCTACTAATACATGAACAGATTACGTGCTTCAATAAAACGTCACTGTTCCTAGAGGAGAGAGCACCAAAAGACATAGAGATCAAGTTGGCAGAACAGTATATGGAAGCCCATGGAGTAAGTATAACTGGAAAGTACAGGAATAACAGTTAAAGTTGAAACCAGGGGTGGCTGACCAGAAGTAGGATGTTACCAAAGATGACAAGAACTCAACAGGCAAAATAGAGAAGAGATGCTATACTTGTTATAAAATGGGACACATTATGAATACGTGCAAGTCCTTCACCAGCAAGCAACAGCTGAAATATCAGTATAAATTAGCTGGAGCTCCCTACAAAGGTGGTGCTCGCAAGAAACAAGGAAGAAGTGACTATCACCATGGATGCTGCTGCCAGAAGAAACATAATAGGGACAACTCATCAGATTCATCACAAGAAAGAAATGCTATCACCATGAATAAACAGTGCATGATTGACAGTCAGTTCAAGTTATCAAACGGGTCAACAGTGCCAGTAATGATTGGAGCATGTGATGAACATCAAGAGGTGTCAACAAACCACCAGATGCTGGTAAGTAATGGCAATGGGATAAGAAAGTGAAATTTCTAAGAAATACTGGGTGCAGCAGTGAGAACCAGTCTAGTACCAGATGATAAGCAAGTTACATCTTTGTGTGCTGATTGGTGGGACGATGAGAAAGTTTCCCAGAACAAGAATAAAGGTGGACACTCCATACTACATGGGAGACCTTTAGGCCATATCTACGACTTGGTGATTGGCAATATACCAGACAGTGGTAGTTTGGAGGAACCAGACGAAAAGGAGACTAGTGATGCCTCTGCAGTCACCACAAGACTTCAGGAAAAGAAGAGCAAG